TGTAATAAACCATGCTTATCAGAACCAGACTCCCCTTAAGATGGCTAAGGAAGGGTTTCACATCACACAATTCATAGCAAGTGGTATTTAAGATGTCACTGATAAGGAGACAGTTAGCACATACATCGAGGTATAAATGACATAAGACAACAACTTATGGAAAAAAAATTGTTTGTTAAACATCATTTAACTTATTTCTTGCAAAAATTGGTTTTCTTATCAGCAACCCCATTAGATCGAGAGTCTGACGTGTTAGAACAATACGAGTAATACCATGTTTGTCAAAATACACTTTGAATTGTGTTTTATTGTCGAATTCTCTATTGTGTTCCATACGAATTGAGATAATCGTACAACCATGTCGATTTTGAATCTTTTTGCTCAAAATCTTGAACATTCTGAAAGCTTCTACTTTAGGTTTCAAAAATATAATCCAAGTTGATTAGAGATACTCACTATCAATCCTACACTAATTAAATATTCTCTCATAATCATTTGATTGTAAGTTACGATTTAGTTTTGTAGGTTACGATTCTCTCAAGATGTATATTTATTTACACTTATAAGTAATAATACAATTAAGTTTTTCCATTCAATCACATTCTTACTACTATGTGGGTATTAGAGCTTAAGATCCATCTCTTTTTCCTTCTTACTGCTATCCTAAATATGTTCCCTGCTTCTACCCAAACCATCTTGTCCAGCCATTCAAGGGTCGTTGTTAATGGTATCTTCCAATGCCTTATCTTTCGTACTCAATTTCCAAATGAAATTCCACCATCACCCTCCTCTTATCCTCCAATCTCTTCTTCTCTTCCACATGCCTATGCTGTCTCAAAAACTTCATCTAATGGTTGGCTTCTTGATAGTGGTGTGACACACCATGTCACTCATGATTTTGCCAACCTTGCACTTTACTCCCCTTACAATGGTAGGGAGGAAATTATTATTGGTGAAGGTTCAGTTTTAGCCATCTCAAACAGTAGTTCAACATCTCTTCTTACTCCCACTTCTAATATTCATATTGATAATATACTATATGTACCTTCCGTTTCTCGTAATATTGTTTCGATCTCTAAATTTTTCCAAGATAATAATGTCTCAGTTACATTCTCACCTACTTCTTATATTGTGAAGGATCTTCGCACGGGGCACCCTTTCTCCAAGGCCCAACTAAATCAAGAATTTATGAATGGCAACCCACTCATCTCACCGTTCACTTTGTCAAAATGGCATCCACTACTGATTGGCATCAACGATTAGGCCATCCATCTTATTATGTTTTATGTCATATTAGCAACTCTTTCAATTTGAATATTCCTAAGTCTATTACTTCTATTGAAATTCTTGTGATTGCAATAAAAGTCATAGATTACCAATCTCTCGAAACACCTTAAAATCTAATGACCCTCTTGATATTCTTTACAGTGATGTTTGGACTTCCCCCACCTTATCTTATGAAGGCTATAAATACTACCTAATATTTGTTGGTCGTTATTTCAAATATGTGTGGTTTTATCCACTCAAACACAAAAATGAGGCCACTGTCATTTTTATTAAACTCAAACTCAAAGTTGTAAATTTCTTCAAACGATCAATCGTTACTATATTAGTGATAATGGTGGTGAATATATTGTCTTACATCCTACTCTTGAATCTCATGGCATCACCTACCTAAATTCCTCACCTCATATGCCTGAGCACAATAGATACTCGGAGTAGCACCATCGTTACATAGTTGAAACCAGTTTTTCTCTTCTCGCTCATTCTTCTATGTCACATAAATATTGTCTCCAGCTTTTCCTTCTGCTTGTTACCTCATATATCCTATGCCAACTCCTACATTTAATCTTCAATCTCTCTATCATAAACTTCATAGTCACACACCCAACTATTTTAAATTGCATAGTTTTGGGTGTCTTTGCTACCCTTGGCTGTACCACAAATAAACTTGATCCCCGCTCCTCTTCTTGTATTTGTGTTGGATATTCGGCCACCCAAAGTGCTTATCATTGCCTTGATCCCACATCTAATAAGATATATGTCTCTAGTCATGATAAATTCATCGACATGAGTTCACCTTCTCCACCTCCTCCTTTGTCGCATCTCCACACACATCCAATGATGCGGAAGAATGGCATGCTCTCCAACTTCCCACTAAAGACTCGGTCTTGACTACACCGAAACCTTTAGACCCATGGTTAAATCGCCACAATCCGAATGATTCTCTCTCTAGCTATCAAAAATGGTTGATCTCTTCGTCAAGTTGACATTAACAATGTCTTCCTCCAAGTCTCTCTAATGGAGGATGTCTTTATGGATCAATCACCCAGTTTCATTAGTCAAACTCATCCTAATCATGTATGCAAACTCCATCAATCTCTAAATGGTCTCAAACAAGCTTCACAGACTTGGTACAATGAACTCATATCCTATCTACTCAGTTGTGGTTTCAAAAATTCCACTTCTGACGCCTCACTCTTTACTTTACACCATAAAGTTGATCACATTTTTCTTCTTGTTTATGTAGATGATATCATCATCACTAGATCAAATCCCACTCTTCTAAACTCTTATTTCTCAACTCTTCAATCATTTCTCACTTAAAGATCTTGATTACTGTTTCTTATTTTCTTGGTGTGGAAGTCTTACCTCACCCTCATAGCATTTTTTTAGCCAACATAAATACATACAAGACCTCCTTACACTCACATGGCACCCGCCAAACATGTTCCTACTCCTATGAATTCTCATCCTACCCTAACATTCATAATGGAACCCCCTTGGCCAACCCAACTGAATACAGGGCAACTGTGGGAATTCTATGATAAATATCTTTAACCAGACTAGATGTTCCTTTTTGTTGTGAACAGGTTATCTCAATACATGCATAATCCAACTGAAGAACATTGGGTGGCTCTCAAGCGATTCTTACGCTATCTAGTGGGCACATCCACACAAGATCTACTACTACATCGTGATTCGCTCACTACTCTCTATGCCTTCACAAATGCTTCTTGGGTTGGTTATAAAGATGACTACATTTCAACAATCTTTACATTGTGTACTTGGATCCAAATCCTATTTCCTAAAGTTTACATAAGTAACAGACTCTTGCTTGTTTGTTGACGAAAATCGAATACCGAGCTGTTGTAGCAACTACCGCATAGGTATTATGGATCCAAAACCTACTTCATGAGCTAGATCATCTACCCATCATAGCACGAATAATATATTGTGATAATATGGGAGCTACATATGTTGTCGTCAATCCTAAGTTTCACTCACAAATAAAGCACGTACCTCTTGACTATCATTTTATTCGTGAGAATGTCCAAAGTTGAAAGTTGCGTGTTTCATATATTTCTGGCAAGGATCAACTAGTTGATGCTCTTACTAAGCCACTTGCAAGAAGACAGTTCAAAAAACTCATGTCCAAGATTGGTCTCACTATCCAATCATCCATCTTGTGGGGGCATGTAGAGATACTCACAATCAATCCTACATTAATATATATTCTCTCATAATCACTTGATTGCAAGTTAAGATTTACAATGGTAGGTTACGATTATCTCAAGATGTATATATATATATATGCATGCCTACAAATAACAATACAGTTAAGCTTTTCCATTCAATCACATTCTTACTTCTATACAAGTATATCTTAAAAAATCATCGAGAACCACCAAAAGATATAAAATTTCCTCACTGCTTTAAATTGTCAAATGACCAAAAAACATCTATGTCGATCAGTTCCGATACTCTTTTGGTTGAGACTACGTTTTTAGTTTGTGAAAGACATAAACTTCATTCGAACTTTACAAGCATCACAAAAATGAATCTCCATTTTGATTTTTAGAAGATTAATCATTGATTTTTGGAAGACTGATTGCAAGCTCATTGATTTTTGGTTCTTAAATCAATCTTAATAATTGTGTCTAAGTTTGAAAAAACTATACATTAATAAATAATACTTAATAAGTTGTTTATGAAAATTTTAGTTAAATAATATTTTATGATTCGGTGAATATTAATATAAAATCGTCCAACTATTTACAAATTTGATTAAATGATGGTTTAACCATTTGATTTCAATTCTTGAAATTGTAAAAACAGTTCAAAAATACATATTTAAACGCATTCCCTCAAAAGTATTATCTATACTATATTATAAAAACTCTTAAAAACCATTTTTTATTCATGAAATACTGTATATTGATGCATATTACTTAAAATTCAAGATTACAAATAAATTATGCATAAGTACAATTTATTAAAGCTCTATACTTGAATTCGTGTAACTAACCGCGGATAAACATAATCAAATAGAGAATAAACATCTCATTTTAAAATATAAAAAATCTAAAATATAATTAGGATAATTATCGAGTTCTAACAAAATATTTTTTTAATTATCTTTATAAGAAAATTATATTACTAAACCAAATATAAATTACTTCGTTATTAAACTAAATTAAATTATAGTTAAAAAAATTTAATTAAGAAAATTACACCAAAATACAAGAACTTTTAAAAAGATTAATTTGATACTGATATTAATATTTCTTTTAAATTTATATTTTATTCAAAAATAAAAACATTATCGCTTTTTCAAAACCACATAAAACCGTATTATATCGACATTAAAAAGAAATAAAACGAAACATTGAAATCTAGATGTGTCTCGATGCATTGCACGAGTACTCTTATAATTGAAAAAAAAAACATACGCTATCAAAACATATTATAATGATCATATACATAAGAAATTACACTCCTACTTGTCCTATACAAATACAATACATAAAACAACATTACAAATTGTTGCCTATTTGCTCTACATCCAAACCAAATCTAATGAATATTTCAATTTGTATTTTTAAAAATGTGTGTATTTTGAAAAACATATCAAGTTTCACCACTCCACATAAAAATAATATCAATATATATTTTTCAAACTCTTCATTTAAAATATGATTTTCAAAATAAAAATTGAAAAAAAAAAATAATTTCTTTGCAATTTTCCTTCGTGTAAATAATGGAAACACCAAATCCTCTTGAAGCGATGGCATCATATGCATTTGTCTGAATCTGATCTTAAATGGAGATCAGCATCATGTCTATTAACAAGTTGTCCATCATCAATACGTCAACTTCCCCACAGAAGTAATTATTGGGACTCGATTTCCCTGCATTTTTATCAATTAACATGCCCCGTATCAGTTATAACAGAACCAGGTCTCACCCACGATTTAGAAAGTGTGTGTTGTTTGGAAATTGAATGTATACCGTAGAAAGAAGATTGGGGTTGGTTGATGATTTGTGGAATGACGGGGAGCTTCTTGAGTGGGCACGAGGAGATGGGAAGAATAGGGAGAACATGGCAATTGCAGATCTCGATCATGTAACCATCAGGGTCGTGGAAGAAGAGTTGGTTCACCTCCACACCCCCTTCTTTGACCACTGCAGTCACGTATTCGATGTCTAATTCCTCAAGTTTCTTGATTATAAGATCCATATCTGAGCATTGAAAAGAAATGTGGTTATCTTTTGGATTGATTGCCCCTTTCTTTGTTGGAGTTGTCTCCATTTCTAGCAAATGTATTCCAATTCCGTGGCTGAACAACCTGTTCCAACACTTATACAATTAGCTCTAAAAGTTGTTAGTTTCGCTTTACGTACATAAATTTTCATCAATGATATCAAGCTGTATATCGTTTGCGCAACAAAATCAACACACGATGCATCATTAGTCACCGCCATTAACAAATTATCGGTTAAAATCACATGAAAAATAATATTATGATCCTTTCAAAACTGTTCCCTAAAATGAAGTGCATAAACGAGCATTCGGTTTTTCAAAAAAAAACTATTGTTTTAATCTGACATGTAGATTACGATTTCATTAATAATTCGTATCAGAAGATTCGGCAAGTTAGAAGAGCAATTTAGAGAGTCTCAAATGCATAAAAGAAAGAGTTACGAACCAAGCGCCTTCAAAGTCAAAGGAGGAAGGGCGTCTGATGAGAACGAATCCGAGTACGTCGTTGTAGAACTTGACGGATCTTATAACAGATCTACACATAAAGGAAACGTGATTCAGAGATAACAGAGGCAACTGCTCTTGCTTTTGCTCCTGCTCCTTCATGGATGATGATGATGATGATGATGATGATGACATGAATGATGTCTCCATCTCATCCTCCATGATCAACTTCTTCGTCATTGCTCTCTTTTTTTTAGTACAAATACTTCTTGTTGTATGAGTGTTATGTTATATGTGTATACATCAAAAAAACCTCACCAATTTATAGAAGCAAACATTCCAACAACGTCGTCGTTTAATAATTCCAATTTTTTTTAAATATTTTTTATAAAACAAAATATCTAAATTATTTAAAAAGTATCTGCTCGGTCCCAACACGTGCTTCTTGTGTCTGTTTTCTAACATATTATTTGTTTATTTTTAAATATCTAAATTCTATTTTAAACTTAAAATATAAATATAAATTTAAATATGCAAAAACTTATTTATAATTAAATTATTAAAATATTTTATATTTTTATTTTCTTTTTCAATCAGACACACAGTTTCAGATGCATAGATACAAGAAAGGTGCTGTTTTGATATCATAAGTTAGATGACTTTATTGTAGCCTTACGGTACACTACAGTCACATTAAAAAATAATGTATTTTAGTTTAATTTTTATTTTTGAGTAACGTATTTTTAAAACTTTTATTTTGATATCTAAGATGTAAAGTTTTAAACATTTAAGTACTCGGGTAACAGGTTGAAGCATTAACCGATTACCATGTTGATGTAACGAGTGATGTGGTATCCAACCCAGTATTATTTTGTTATTCAACCAAATTTCATCTCATCATTCATCGATAGACTGTAATTGGATTCTGACTCTTATTTATTCAAATTGTATTAATATGTAAAGATCAAATGTAGCTTATATCATCGTTAAATTTTCTCTACTAAAACCATTGAAACTTCAAAATCATTGAAATTCACGACTCTCGCCGCATTACACGGGTACACAACTAATCTATAATAAAGAAAAATAAATATTTCTTTGCTCCATGAATTATAAGCATTTTTTGTTATTAAATCTATTACTAATTAATAATGAATAACATTTATTAAGTCTTTTTTATACTTATCAAATGCCCCATACATTCAGGAGGGTCTGTGAAATGTCAAGTTGAAATCATCAAAAGAAATGGTTGAATAAGTTGTTTTGAATCATCACAAAAATCTAAAATCTTTGAATTTTCAATCATAATTTTAAGGTGTCGTTTACCAAACGCTTACCCGAGTAAGTATTTACCAAGTCACTTTATTTTACCGGATGAATATGACAAAGACTAAGGAGGTGTTTGGGATTGCTTATTGAAAACAACTTATGTTTTTTTACAAAACCATTTATTAACTTATTATAAGTCAGAATGATTTAACTTCTTCAAAAACTCCTTATTACCGGTTTGGCACCGGTATAAGTTGTTTATCCAAACACTCAAAAGTGTTTATTACCGGTGTCACATCGAAATAAGTCAATAAGTTGTTTTTATAAGCAATCCCAAACACCCCCTAAGAATCTTACTCGGTAAGAGTGAATGCAATAATCAAGAGTCTTACCCGGTAAGTAAGGATGACGACTCTTACCATGGGTAGTGCTTACAGGGATAAATTGTTGCATACTATGCATTTTAGTGAATAAAATCTTACCCGGTAAGTAAGCGATAGTGTTGAATTTTACCGATGAATGTTTACCGGGTAAGTGTTTAGGTAAATGGGTCCCTAAGTATTTATTAATAGATATCTTATATGCATTATAAGTATAAGTATAAGCTCTTTAAAAACCACTTGCAACACAAATGAAAGGATATTTAGGTGTTGATTATATCAGAAAACATTAAAGACTATAAAAATGTAGTAATAAAAACCCACGTGGTTATCATGTGCTCATAAATTCATGAAAGGACCACATGTGCTCATTGGAGATATTTCACTAAAACCTATTTTTTTTCTATTCTTCTTTCCATATACTTACATGCTAATCATCTTTATTATAATCGGTAATGTGTGATTCGTCTAAGATGTTACAAACACCCTCCTCTCGATGACTCATCATACCCGATAAGGTTTAATCCAACTTAAAACCATAATGGAAGCTATTGGTAGCCCACAACTTTAGGCTTATAAGGAGTTAAGAATTCCCATTTTCTATCCATGTGGAACGAGTTGTTACACAATTTCTATATTTTCTAATGAATAGACCTATCTTGGAGCATTGAAACAAAATGTGGTTATTTTGTCTTTTGCTAGGAGAAAACCTAACGAGGTTGCGCACGTTTTGGTGTAGAATTCCCTTTTCTCTGCTTACCCACCTTTTATTTTGATATGCCGAGTTTTCTTACAGATTTTGAGAGGTAGGGTTGCATATGGGTTGGATTGTTAGGGTTTATGGCATTTTGAACAACCTAACCAATGTTTGCGATTTGAAAAAAATTCAACCCAACCTAACCCAACTCAAACCGTACGGGTTGAATTAGGTTGGGTTGGTCTGGTTAATCGAATTGAAACTTTAGTACATCATTTTACAATCTAGCCAATGTTTATGTTTAAAAAATTAAATCAAAATGGTAACATACACAAACGACTAACAAACTCAAAAAAAAAAAGTTGAAGGTTAATGCAAATAAGAAAGTCAAATTACAGTTGAAATTGTAATATAACTTTGAATATAGCTAACTATTGATCGGTCTAGTGTCTGATGTACATATGTTAATAAAAAAAAACACTCAAGAATCATATTAAATCCATAGTATAGAAGTGCATCGGGTTGAATTGGGTTCAAATGACCCTAACCCAATTCCAACCCACTATATGAGGGTTGACCTACTTACCTCGGGTTGAGTCTTTCTTTTGGGCTTTTTTTGGGTTGGATTGGCCGGGTTGGTCGGTATTTTAAGCATCCCTAATTAGGCGTAGACCTATGAAGGACAAGAGAGGGATCCCGTACACCTATTCAACTGATTTTCGTAAGTAGTTTTTTTCTGTATGAAAAATGCATTTGTTATACTTTGAAAGGTGTTGTGTGATATTATAAAAACAATGAACATCAACTAAAAAATCCTATTGAAGTTAATTAAGAAAACCGAAAGAAGTCGCTAATAAAATATAGGAGCCACTTGCAAAAATCTAAATTATTACATGTCTCATGGTTTTCTCATATCATTTATAAAGATTTTTTTTATAAATCTTTACAACATAAAATTAGGATTTTTTTTATTGGTCGAAATATGTGACACCCTGTAATTTTATATTTGATAAATATAACGATTTATAATTTTACAAAGCTACCCTACCGGACTTAAAGATCACGTGATATAAATTCATGGAAGGCCCACACGATGTTCGACTTGCTATTTCCGAGAACTAAAAAGTTAGAGCATCTCCCATAAATAAGAATAAGGGGGTGTTTGGCACACATAAAATGGAATTTGATGGAATTGAAATCGAGCAAAAGAATTTGATTTTGAAGGAACTGGAATGAAATTTGACCATGTGTTTGGTTGGTAGAAATTGGAACAGTCGTCTTTGTTTTGACTATTATACCCATCGCTCCGCCCACATCCTACCAATCGCCATGTCACTATGGTCGTCGTCATAGCTATCACCCGGCCCACCCTTACCCAAACACTGCCCCACCATCCCAACCCCACCCCTACCACTCTTGCCCCACCACTGCTCCATAAGTGGGGGTTATTGGGGGTAGGAAGGGTGGGGAGAGGCGGTGGGGCTAAAGTGGGGCAGTTGATGGTAGATGTGACAAATATAGTGGTAGGATAGTGGTTAGTAGTGGGTTAGAGTAGGGTAAGGTGGGGCATGGTGGGGGCGGGACAGTGGGGTGGTAGGGGTAGGTGGCGGGGTGGTAGCTGTCACGACGACGGTGGTGGGATGGTGGTTGGGTATGACAGCAACAGTAGTGGCATGGTGGTTAGTGGTCGGTTGGGGTAGGGTGGGGTGAGTGGCAGTTGTAACGGTGACAATAATGGTGTGGTGATGGGGGTTAGGTTAGGGGCGTGACAGTAACAGTAGTAGCATGGTCGTAATATGGATGTGCAGTGAGTGACCGGGGGGTGGGTGGGTGTAATGACAACCGTAGTGGCATGGTGGTTAGTGGTGTGGTGGGTGGGGGCGACTATAGTGGTGTGGTGGTGAGGGGTTAGGGGTGGGGAATGACGAACAATAGTAGCATGGTCGTGGTGGATAGTGATAGAATTCAATTTCTTCCATTTTGCCAAGGAATGATAAATTCATTAATTTATGGAATTCAATGGAATTTGAAGAATTTCATTCATTTTAAGAAATTTTGAACTTCGGTTTCCATCTTGAATTTTTTTTTGAAGAATTTATTATAGATGCTTGATACAAGATTTAGTAAATATTTAATTGTTTGTTGGATTTTTAATTATTTATAAAAAAATAATGTAATTTTGTGGATTGAAATTGTTAAAAACAAGTCATTTATAAAAACTCAATGTGTTATTAATTCACTACAAAACAATTGATTTTTATCTACAAAAATCATCGAGGGAAAATTCTGTTGGTGATTATCACTTAGAAAATACCAATGGTTCGGTATAATCTAATATTTTTCAAGAAAATACCAATGGATCACCGAGGAAATCCCTGGGTAATCAGTCACATATTTGAGTTTCCCACCAACAATTCACCCAGAAACTTTTGTGACGGTCTTATAACGAATCAACCCTTTAGCGATTGATTTCCTAGGAAAACGTCCATAGATAAAAAGTCTTGCATTTAGTAGTGATTGTTCATAAAACGTGATATTTTTACGGGTTTATAACACTTATTGCATTTGAATTTGCCTACTAAATATGTTTAGAACATATTTTAGTACCTACATCGAGTAATGTTGCAAAATCAACCGATTTTGATATATATTTCCAAAAAACCTTTTTTCAGTACATGAACCGAACCAGGTTATACGATCCACTCGTGATCACCTGGGTCTTAAACTGTTTGCTTTTAAAAGTTCAGAAAGACACGAAATAAAATCTTGTTTTTATCAAACAAAGAAATATAATTTTATTTACTTATCAAAATGACGTTTGAGACTGTACGTTGCTTGATCAGTTATAATTTAATGATTTTATTCTCGTAAATTTATTTAACAAATAAGAATATATATATATATATATATATATATATATATATCAAAGTTAAATGCTTACAAC